TATATATATATATATATTTAAAAAAACTATGGAACTAGTTTTACTCAAGAATTTATTATTAACTGCTCATTATATTGATAAGTAATTAATATAAAGAAATTTGGGCGAGAAATTTTTATAAAATTAAACATTATTTAACCTTTTCTATTCAATTTTCATATTACTTTTCTTATAAATAAGTTACTTATTTTAATTTACGCTTAAGAGAAAATTCGACAATTAAATTATTATATTGATAAGTAATTAATACACTTTTTATTTTTTATATTTTACATATCTAAATTTTATAATTATAAAATTTTAGATAATCTGATAATGCTAAAAAAAGGTTTTATATTTATGGATTAAAATTTAGGGATTGAGATTTATGATTTAAAGATATAAAGTTTTGGATTTTACAATGAGGTTTAAACTTTTCAATTTATTTTAGTAGCTTAATTTTCTTATAATTGATTTTTTATATTTGACATATCTAAAATTTTTAATTATAAATTTTGAGATAATTTTATAAAGTTAAAAAAGATTTATATTTGTGAGTTAAAATTTAGGATTTTGGATTTATGATTTTAGGGTATAGAATTTTGGTGTTTACAATTTTAAAGTTTAGACCTTTGAATTTAGTTTAGTAACATAAGTTTTTTATAATAGAATTATTTTATGTTGAGAAAGAGTTATAAATCTCGTAATTTTTTTAGTGATTGTTTTGTATCTAACATATTTAATTTTTTTATAGATAATTTGATAAATTAAAAAATTACTATAGAATTAAATTGAGACATATCAATTAAGAATTATCTCTTATATTTTTTTTTCTTGCAACTGAGTTACTTTGTGAATATAATTTTCAAATGTCATAATTATTTTGATGATATTTTTGTAACTGATTTTTTTAGTTTTTATTTTTAAATTTTAGAAAAAATATCTATTTAATTAATTTTCTGAACTCAATATCTACTTAATTAATTTTTAGAAATTTTTATCTTTTAAACTTCAAATAGAAACTACACATAATCTTGTAAATGATTTTTTAGTATAGTTTTTTTTTCTTATAACAGAAATATCTTTTACTAAAAAGAGTTTAAAAATCTCATAATTATTTTAGTGATTTTCTTTTTTATATTTGACATATCTAAAACTTTTAATTATAATTTTTTAGAGAATTTGATAAAGTTAAAAATATTTTATATTTTAAGGATAAAATTTAGGGTATAAGATTAATGGATTTACTATATAAGATTTTTGAAGTTTAGGATTTTAAGGTTTAAGTTTTTGAGTTTAGTTCAATAGTTTAATTTGTTGAAAAAGTGTTACAAATGGATATATTTAAAAAAAATTAAAATTTGGATAATTTGATAAATTAAAAAAGATTTTTTAATAGAATTATAATCTAGTAAAAATAATTTATAAATCTCATGTTTATTCTAATGATTATTTTTGTAATTAACATGTGTAAAATTTAAAATTTAAAACATTAGATAATTTAATAAATTAAAAATTAGTTTTATAATAGAAGTTTCTTCTAGTAAAGGAATTTATAAACGTCATAACTATTCTGGTATTTTCTTTTTTTGTAATTGGAATATGTAAAAGTTTTAATTTTTAATTTTAGACAATTTTGATAAATTAAAAAAGGTTTAAAATAATTAAGCAAATTACTAAAAAGCCGTTTTAGCAATCCTAAATTTTACATAGTTAGATGATTATTTGAGTGAATCAAGATGGAGAAATATGTATTTCAATGAGGGGAAAATGTTGGGAAAAAAAAATTTATTTAACCAATCAATCTGTAAAACGTCCAAATAAAAGCCTCAAAATAAAGAATTACTAAACTCCAGTAAAAGAATTGAGAAGAACAAAAAATATCCTAAACTCATTGACCAAATCAAATAAGAAAAAAAATATATCTTTTACATTATATATAGTGATGAAGCAAAAAAGTAAACATTAAAATCATCAAACACAAATCAATGTGTATCATATAAAAAATGAAATACAAGAACAAAAGGTGAATATAAAATAAGCATGGAGATGAAGAAAAAACAAAATAAATAGAAAGAGTGAGAATAACGAAATTGAAAAGAACAAAAAAATATATTAATTTCATTGACTAAATTAAAAAAAAAAAAAGTATATGTTTTACACTATATTAGTGATGAAGTTAAAAATAAACACTAAAAGTATCAAACACAAACCTATACATGTGATTGTATGCCATATAAAGAATGAAATACATGAACATAAGATAAACATGAAAATGGAGATGAAAACAAAATACATAGAAATATTGAGAATGAAGAAAATTGAGAGAATAAATAAGAGAAATAAGAAAAGAAGAAAAATTATATCTTGAAGAAAGTGGAAGAAAAAAAAAATGTCATATAGTTAAAATTAAAGAAAGATATCTTTGAAAATGGAGGTGGTGACTTTAAAGGAAGCAAAGGTTAAAGGTTTAAATTATGAATTTAATTACAAAATAAAATATTATTTTTTGTTATAACTTTAGCGATAATTTTAAACAATTTTATTTTTTAAATTAGAGAAAAACTAAAAAAAACTAAAAATCAAGTATTATTAAAAAGACTTTATTAATTCAAATTTTTACCCTCCTCATATATAGAGCTGTCAAAACGGGCCAGCCCGGCCCATATGGACCAGCCCACTTTGCCCCACCTTAAAAACGGGTCAACCCAACCCGGCTCACTTTTATTTTGTCAGAATTTTTATGGTCCACCACGGGTTGGTGGGTCAAACGGGCCAGCCCACCAGCCCATCAAAAAAATTTAAAAAAAAAATTTACAAACGTGCTTGGAAGCCGTGCGCGGGTGTCTTGGTCTTCATTTATGACCTATGAGACGCTAAGACCCTGTGCTAGTGTCTTGGTCTTCGTCAACGATAGTGGGGACATGCTCCCACGAAATTATTGACCTCTTTTATTATTCAATCAATTGTTGATGCTCAACACTGTTCACTTCTTCTTCACTCCTTTCCTTTGAAATATGTTTTCTGATTTTGAGGAAAAACTCATAGGTGCCTCCACGCCTCCACGATCTCATTGAACTCAGAGGCGCTAAGAGCCACGGGCTTCTCGAGCAGCACGTGCTAATTGCTCGCGGCGAGCACGGCCCAGCGCAGTGCAGGCTGGTGGGGAGCGGCACGTAGACGGCATCGACGTTAGGGTCCTGGAGGACGGCCTCGTAGGAGCTGTAGACCTTGGCAGCAGCAGGGAAGCCGTTGACGGTGGCGAAGGCGCGCGCCTTGTCGCGAGAGCGGCTGCCGACGGCGTGCAGGGCGACGTTGGGGGCGAGGGCGACGGCGCATGAGACCTTGCGCGTGATGTCGTCGCAACCGATGACGCCGAAGCGGATGGTGGGTGTTTCGACCATTGAAATGAGTGAGGTGACGTGGCTCGCGAGGATAAGTTTGGAAGTGGAAGAGGGGATTGTGGAATGGTTCCTATTGGGTTGGCTATTGCAATAAAAGAAATAAGTGAGCTGGTGAGCTGCCCAGCCCACCACGAGTTCAGCCCAAGTGGACCGGGTAAAAGTGGACCGGGTTTATATTTACCCACTTACCATAAAATTGTTATTTATTTTAGCCCGGCCCGGCCCATTTTTATGGTGGGCCAGGTTAGCCCACGGACCACGGCCCATTTTGACAACTCTACTCATATATATTAGATTATTTCGTTTCAATCATTTTTCATTTTTTATTTAAATTATAATTTTTCACAAAAATTATTATATTTTTTCATTTATTATCAAAATGTATTTGAATTCCAAAATTTATTAGGGTCTATGATAAAAGAACATAAATTGAAAGGTATAAATCGTAAAAATGTGACAAATCACTACATTAAATACAACATAATTTCAATGTGGTGGAAAACATAACCATTTCAACTACACTAGGATTATTACATTATTACGCAACAATATCTGGACATTCATACAAAATATTATAAATTAATAAAATTTAATAATTTGTTAATTTATAATAAAGAATAGAAGGAGTACCATACATTGCTCCATACATAAACAAACACAATATTAGTTAGGAAAGAATAAAATCGCCTTGTGTGATACTGGCGCATTCATACATACTGACTGAGTTTCTACATATGTATACATAATATATTCAATGCATGGCATAAAAAATACCGTCCAACATAAAATGAAACTTGTGAATATACTACACAACTTTTTGACCATTAACATTATTTAGTCTACCCTTAAAATGAATGGTAATCCCCAAACACTCCCATTAAATTAAGGAGCCAGCCAAATTTTGAAAAAATCTTTAATCATATACAAAACTGTATCGAGTTTGCTCTTGTGTTGACAATAGAATGTTCTTCACCATCCAACCCATTCCCAACATTTGTTCTATCAATTTTGATAGATCCCTTTCTGCAGATCTCTTGGCATCCTCAACAATTATAGACCAATCCTCCATTGTTGAGTCTGATGCATTGCTTTCCTCTATTATAATCTCCCACCTACTACTGTTCATAAGTAGAGCCCTTCTAATGTAGCAAGCCTAAAACATTGCAATTTTATTAAAAAAAAAATCATATCAAAAGATCATTAAAACAAGCAAAAATTGCTTCAGGACACAATTTTTACCTCCTATAGTAAACAGAGAGTATTCAATGTATGAAAAACTACAAAATCATGAGGGAAATTTATTAAATAAAACACAACCTACAAATTTTGTGATTTCTAATAAATTTTGATCAATAATAAAAGAAGTGAGTTGTTAGCATTTATCTTTATGTTACGAGCAGAAAAGATAGAAAAGCAAGTTTCAGGAACCCAACTCAAACAATTGCAGGTTATATATATACTTATACTGTAATTGTTTGTCTCTTTCTCATAACGAGAGGATCCACATTCAATTAGCTACCAATAATGGTGCATTAATCATAAAAGTTGAAAAACCATTGAGAAGAATTATCATATCACCTGCAACAAACCCGTAATTATATGTGCTGCTTCGGCTCCTTCACGCATGGACAGAAGGATAGATGGCTAGAAGGTTTAGAGCCAGAGAAACATGTAAAATAAGAACAGTTAGAAAACACTATGATAGAATCAACTGGTAAAAAGAGAGAAGTGAAGGGATGAAACCCCGAAAAAAAGAATGTCTGCAAGGTTTCTTATTGACCCCCTTGCTGAGCCACGCTAACATTCAATCGGAATTCAATACACTAGGCAAATTCGAGAGTGCCCACTCTCCCCAGATTACAATATTGTTCCACACCCCTCTCCCCCTTATGTTCTCCTATTTATACAATATATCAGTCCCTACAGCCTGTTATCAGTTAGTTATTAAAAACTAACTAACTGCCTCCCTTTCCCCTCCTAACATAGACCTGTTTAACCGCGGTCTCCTATCAATACTCCCCCCCCCCCCCCCCGAGCTATCACCTTGTCCTCAAGGTGAAATTGTGGAAATGTGGCATCAATCTTGGCTGCTGTTTCCCACGAATTTTCACAGTCAGGCAGGTTGTGCCACTGTATGAGTACCTCTAATTCCCCTGTTCTGCTGTATCTGTATGATAAAAGTTCAGCTGGTTGTGACTGCAATTCCCAATCTACAGAAAGTTCTTCCGAAAGGAGCTGCACCTGTTTTTCTATTGGCACGGCCCTCTTTAATTTGCTGACATGAAAGACTGGATGAATCCTACTGTTTTCTGGTAACCGCAACTTGTAAGCCACCTCACCCACCTTAGCCCCCACCTGGAAAGGACCATAATAACTCGGACTCAATTTCTCATTTCTCCTCTTTGCCAACGACTTGAGCCTATACGGTTGGGCTTTTAGATAAACCCAATCTTCCACCTCAAATTTCACGTCCCTTCTTTTCCTATCCGCTTGTTGTTTCATCCTATGCTGTGCCTTTCCAATGTTAGCTTTTAATTCCTCCAAGATTCCGTCCCTCTCTTCTGCCATTACATTTACAGTCTCCACCTTGGAAGGATAAGTTTGAGCTTTGAAAATAGCAGGAGGATCCCTTCCATACACAGCCTTGAATGGAGTCATCCCCGAAGATTGATTGTAATGAGTGTTAAAACAAAACTCCGCCCAAGCTAACCACCTAGGCCAATGCTTGGGTTTATCCCCCACAAAACACCTCAAGTAATCCTCCAAACACCTGTTAACCACCTCCGTTTGTCCATCCGATTGGAGGTGATACGCTGAAGTATATTTCAATTTTGTGCCTGCGGATTTAAACAATTCTGACCAGAACTGACTCAAAAACAACTTGTCCCTGTCCGTGACAATGGATTCAGGAAATCCATGTAGCCGCACCACTTCCTGAATGAACACTTGAGCTACCTCCTGTGCAGAAAAAGGGTGTGATAGGGGTAAGAAATGGGCGTACTTAGATAGCATGTCTACTACCACCAAAATAGTATCCTTGCCTAAAGTTCTGGGAAGGCCCCTAACGAAATCCATGGATAAGTCAGTCCAAATTTGCGTAGGAATTGGTAATGGTTGCAGCAACCCCCCTGGCGCCAATGTCTGATACTTATTTGTTTGGAAAATGTGACATTCCGCCACGAATTTGGTAATATCCTTCTTCATTCCCTTCCAAAAGAATGCAGCCGATACTCTCTTGAAGGTTCTGAAGACGCCCGCATGGCCTCCCATAGCTGAGGCATGAAACTCTCGGATGATGAGAGGAATCCTGCTAGACTTCCTGGGTAACACGAATCTGCCGTTGAAAAAAATTTTCCCTCCTTCAAGTCATACCCTTTCTGCTGGTCCGGGTCTGTGACCAGTTTCTGCATTAATACTTGTATTTCAACATCCTCCAAAAACTCTTCTTCCCATTTCTGCAACTCTTCCAGCCACTCTTCCAGCCACTCTTCCATTTCCACTCTTGTTATGGCAGCATACATCATCTGCCTTGAAAGACCATCTGCCGCCTTATTCTCATAACCTGGTTTGTATTGGATTTCAAAATCAAATCCCAATAACTTGGTTGTCCACTTGTGATGCTCCTCTCCCAATAGTTTCTGCTCATTAAGAAATTTGAGGCTCCTCTGGTCAGTTTTTATAATGAACTTTCTTCCCATCAAATAATGTCTCCATTTCTGAACAGCCACCACAATTGCCATTAATTCCCTTTCATATACTGATTTTCTCTGGGCCTTGTTAGAAAGAGCCTTGCTCATGAAGGCTAAGGGCCTACCCTCTTGAAGCAGCACCGCCCCAATTCCCTGGCTGGAAGCATCTGACTCCACCACAAACAGCTTAGAAAAATCTGGTACTACCAAAATAGGCAACCCGGCCATGGCCTGTTTAAGTGCCTCAAAAGCTGCGGTGGCTTCCCCACTCCATACAAATGCTTCCTTTTTTAACAACTCAGTCAGAGGTCGGGAAATCACCCCATATCCACGAACAAACCTCCTATAATATCCGGTCAGACCCAGAAACCCCCTTAGACCCTTAAGATTCATGGGTTGAGGCCATTTAAGCATGGCTTCTACCTTGGAAAGGTCTGCTGCCACCCCCTTGGCCGAAATGATATGACCTAGTACTCCATATGAGCCCTTGCAAACTCACACTTCTTCCCATTAGCCACCAACGAGTTTTCCTTCAGCAGGGTCAATACCTGTCTTAAGTGGTATTGATGTTCTTCCAAATTCCTGCTATAAACCAATATATCATCAAAAAATACTAAAACAAACTTCCTTAAAATTGGCCTCAATACTTCATTCATTAACCCCTGAAATGTTGAGGGTGCATTAGTAAGGCCAACGGCATTACCAAGTATTCATAGTGCCCCTCGTGAGTTCTAAAAGCAGTCTTGTGAATGTCCTCCGCTCTCATCCGAATTTGGTGATAACCAGATTTCAAGTCCAATTTGGAAAATATGGTGGTCCCAGTCAGTTCATCCAAAAGCTCATCAATAACTGGAATTGGAAATTTATCTGGTATGGTTACCTTGTTCAACGCCCTGTAATCTACACAAAACCTCCAGCTTCCATCTTTCTTTTTAACCAAAATTATAGGACTAGCATAGGGGCTGATGCTAGGCCTGATAACCCCTGTCCGCAACATATCCTGCACCAATTTTTCAATCTCATTTTTTTGGTAATAGGGATACCTATATGGTCTGAGGTTAGGAATCTCTGCCCCCTCCTTCAAATTGATAGCATGGTCCTGCCTTCTTGATGGGGGCAGTCCCTGGGGTTCCCTGAAAACCTCTTCAAACTCCTCCAGTAGTTGGTTAATGTTGTCGGGCACTGCTAACATCTTTTCCTCTGGCTCAGTTTCAGCCACACGACATTCCACCCAAAATATTTCCTCCTCCTCCTTCAATTGCCTGAGGGTGCCTTTCAATGGTGCTTCCGACACACTCAAGGAAGAGTCACCCTTGATTTGATAGACTTCTCCTCCCACTCTGCCTTTTAAGGTTAATTTGTCAAAATTAACCTTAATTTCTCCCAGCCCCCTCAACCATTCCATCCCTAATATCACGTCAACCCCATCCAAGGCAAACAGGTAGAAATTTTGCCTCCAAGAGGACCCCTGTACTTCTATTGCCAACCCTGCACACAACTCCTGCGCCTTCACACTATGACCATCCCCTACCTTCACCCAATATGGTTCTGTTTTCTCTGCCACCAACCCTAGTTTCCTTACCACTGAATCAGCAATGAAGTTGTGAGAAGCCCCACAATCCACCAAGACCAAAAATGAATTATCACCTATCTTTCCCCAGCATTTGAACGAATGTTTTGAGGTCATTCCCACCATACTCCGAAAATCTAATGTCGTGGTGGACGGCTTACCACCCCATTGGATTTCCTCCTCTTCATCCTCCTCTGTCTCTCCCTCCTCCAACATTATTCGGATTTGCTTGTTTTTGCACACATGTCCCGGTGAATACTTCTCTTCACATCGGAAACAGATTCCCCTTCTCCACCTTTCTTGGTACTCCGCATCAGTCATCCACCGCCAATTTGTCTTTCCTTCCCCCTTTTGATTATCCTCCCCTTTCGTCTCCCTGGGTTCATCATGATTCTTCTTCTCTTCGTCCCTCCGACTGCCATAGAGGTTCTTGTTCCATCCCCCTCTGTTAGTGGTGGACAACGATCCCCCCACCTCCTTCCTTAAGATCGAATTTCGGGATTCTATCAATAGAGCCAAATCCATAATTTCTTCCAATGAATTGAGTCGATGCAACCTCAATTCCGCCTTAACCTCCTCCTTGAGACCATTCAAGAAAATGCCCTTCAAATAATTGGTATCCCCAATCCGGAGAGGCCCAGAATTGGCCTCGAACTGCTCCCTGTAATCCGCCACACTCCCTTCTTGCTTAAGGCCCAACAACACCTCGAATGGGTTCTGTACCACCTCAGGCTGAAATCGTCTCAACAATGCCCCTTTGAAACCCGTCCACGAAGCATTTTGATTTCTGCCTTCCCACCATTGAAACCACGCCACCGCCTTCCCTTGCAACGCCACCATAACAACCTCCACCTTCTCGTCCTCCCATACCCCCTTCAATCTGAAATATCTCTCCATCTTTTCGACCCACCCCAACACGTCATCCCCCTGGAACAGCGGAAGTTCCAGGTTTCGCCACTTCCACCCATTCTTTTTCGTTCTTGGGTCCCCAGACTCTTCGTCCCCTTCACGACCGTTACCTCCCACTGTCCCCATAGTTGCTCGCATTTCCTTCAACTGCTCCAGCATCTCGCGCATCGCCCCCTTGATGTTACGCCGCCATTCAGTTTCCTCCGCCGCGCGTTTCTGTATGTCCTGCAAGCCCTTTTCCACCTGCTCCAACCGGAACTCCATTTTCTTTTCCATCCTTGATCGCCTCAGGTTCGTACCAGCTCTGATACCAGTTGATAGAATCAACTGGTAAAAAGAGAGAAGTGAAGGGATGAAACCCCAAAAAAAAGAATGTTTGCAAGGTTTCTTATTGACCCCCTTGCCGAGCCACGCTAACATTCAATCGAAATTCAGTACACTAGGCAAATTCGAGAGTGCCCACTCTCCCCAGATTACAATATTGTTCCACACCCCTCTCCCCCTTATGTTATCCTATTTATACAATATATCAATCCCTACAGCCTGTTATCAGTTAGTTATTAAAAACTAACTAACTGCCTCCCTTTCCCCTCCTAACATAGACCTGTTTAACTGCGGGTCTCCTATCACACTACTTCATAGAATGTTATATGGTAAAATAAGTCCACCAAGATAGTTTCATTATCTATGATGCACAAATATTTTACATATCACAATAAGCGATACAACTATTCTAAAATTATGTAGAATACGATGTGTATAAGATACACTTCTATAAAAATTTATCTGCAAATCAAAATTAAGAACATACTTCTTGGATGATACTAAAAAAATAAATAAATAAATAAATATATATATATATATATATATATCATTGTCATCATAAATTGTTTCTTATAAATATGGATAATATTACCAATCTCATTCCTCTCTTGAAAGATCAGGGAAGTATCCAATAATATTGGTATCAAATATGTGAAACAAATTTAAGTACTGGTGCTTCAGTGCCCATTATATTGCTCACCTGCCCTGTTTTTTTTAATCCTTTGAAGATCTTCATGCACACAAAGTAATAATCCTCGTCTGTTATACATTGTATTGTCTTTATTGACCACTTGGGTATTTGGTCCTTGATATTTAAGCATCCTATTCTAATTGGCCACAAGCATTTACCTGAATTGAACAATATTAGTTAACTATAACACTGAAGCACACAAGTTGAACAGTATTAAACAGAAATAGAAGAGCCAGTAGCATATCACCTTTAACTCCCAGAAAGTCAATTCCTTCTTTCGCACTCACCTCTGCAGGAGAGGGCACATATCCACACTCAATCCAAGTGTTCAGAATAATTTCAAGCCTATCCTAAAACAATAGCACACCAACAAGACAGTAAATGCAACTAGAGCTCAGTTATACAGGAAATGCAACTGAACTTTCATCATATTAGTGAGCAGTAAGAAGAAATACCAAAACATAAAAAGACTAGACCGCATATGATGCCAATAATAATTCTTTTCCATTTTATGGGTCAATTACAATAGCAAATCTAAAACTTGGTTCTACTCACTTATCTACAAGTGAAGCATCCTGCATCCAAATATACTTTACATTTTTAATGTTACATAATGAAATCAAAATATACTGTTCATCAAATCAGTCCATGTCTATCAGTATCTCACTTTTGGTCAATTGATTTGACTCTAGATTATAAAATTAGAAAAAATTTTACCTCCATCAATAGAAACTAGTATTTCAAGCCACCAGAAAACCTACCTTAGTCAAGGTTTGCAGATGGACATGCTTTAGTCCTTGATAAATCCCAAAGAGGTCCATAGCAGCAAAAAAGGGATAAATAAAGTAACGGAGACCTGCTTGTCGTCTTGCAAGCCAGGAAATGACTCATGTTAAAAAATAAACCAATTTATTTATGCAATAAAAAGTAGAAAAATATATCATACACCAATACAAGTCTACTGGCTATGTAACATCATGCAAAGCTTTTTTAGTTTTTAAAGATAAGGTCATTGAATTCTAGAGGTAAAATACACTGCAGTCGGGTCTTAGTTCTGGAGCTTAGCCAGCTTATAGTCTTATACATCAAATGAATAATAAGAATTATTAATTATTGGGGATAGATAACAACCTTCGATGGTTCTCTATCCACAGATTAACAAGTGCTGCAAACGTAAGACCAAGGATATCAAAGCACACTGTTTGAATCTGAAACATGAAAATATCAGAAATAATTCATTCATGATACATATTGTGGAAAAAAAGTAAAACACAAACGCTGACCTGTGCCTTAGCAGAAATTTCTCCAAGGTTGTTTCCTATAGCAAAACTTTGATGAACAGCTGACTGCTTAATCAGAGAGAGAACATTAAAATTCACATGTCAAAAGAAGTGATCAATCGCTATATACATGACAAAATTGGGGAATTTCCGCAAGACGCGTCCTCTATTGATGAACTTCTTATACATGGAGTTGGGTAAATTCATACAACCATCAAATAAAAAGAAAAGGTGGGTGGGTGGGTCAAGCTGTCAAAAATGCTTTATGCATTATCAAACATGGATTTTAAGTTGGTATAGTAAAATTTAATAACTCACAGACGCAACAACACTAGCAATCAGTATGACACAAGTTAGCTACCAACAGAAGTCCAAACCTCTAAAGAAAAACTGACAGCTTTGGAGGTCTCATTCGCATACTTGATAACATATTCATATTACCTAATTATGGTTAGCGTATATCCATGTGAAAGTTGAAACAAGAGCAATCAGTGTTCAAACATACAACATGAATACGCAAGCAGAATACTGGTGGGACTTACAAGTGTTATCACAAGGAACAATACATCACAAATTAATGAATTATTACATTATTGGACATTTCTTTCATTAATCACCCTTACTAATCTTTCTAACTCCTCATCCCAACATTGTTAAATTGTTTCATATCACATATTAGGATGTCCAATAAATTCAATGCCTACCTAGAACACAACTTTCTTTATTTTTCTTCCATACAACTTATTTTCTTATATAATTACCATGTGGACTATTTCGACTCAGAAACACACCATATTTAAGTTATACAAAAAAGAAATTCCATTATAAATATAATATCATACAATGAATGGCCCCAAAACAAGAATCATTTCATAAAGAAAAATAAATAAATTTAATAGAGAGCTGTATTTTGTAGAGGCATGATATTTACCCGAGTTGCTAAGTAACAAGCCAGGCTTATTTGTTTAGAAATATTGGCAATAGTTGCAAGAAGCAGGAAGCACTGAGGGAATGCAGGAGTAAGTAACTCCAGTCCAATGCTTGCAACAAAAAGAACAGATGTTGTAAACCTGACCCTCTTTGTACAGCAGGTACCAAAAAGATGAAGAGAAAGATTCATCAGATTTCTTCATATATGATTAGTGCATATCAAACTGCAGTTACAATTACCATTATCACTTCAAATCACTGTACTTCATAAGTTCAGGTGATTTTTTAATCGAATGCAAAAATACAGTGTTGGTAACTGCAGAAACTGCATGTTTATGGAAAATAGATTCATTCAAAAATGGAAGTTAAAATACCTTTAAATTTGTATCGAAAGCAGAAGCTAGGCTAGCGGTGTATATGCATCTACTTAGTCGTCCGAGACCATCTTTTAAGACCCAATTAAGGGCAGCAGCTGATGGAAGGGAACTGGAGAATCCAACTCCCATGGCTGCAAACATTGCCTGAGACCAATCCATTGTAACATACTAAGTTCTCAAGCAAGGCAAACCACTACAGTGAGATCTAGGAAGAACTTTCATCACATCTTAAAGGAGAATAAAATGTGCAACACATTCATTACGTGATAATATACAAAGAACACTATTAATCTCACAGTCTCTTTCTCCCCTCCTTACAACATGTGCAGCAAATGGAAATAGATTGATAAACCAAGTTTGAATTTTTCCAACTGAATGGATGCATCAGGGACTAACAATTATCAAAAGCAAACAAATCCATCACACAGTAAGACACACAACAATCTCTCTCACACACAGGTGCATGCACAGCACATGGCAACATACTGATAAGCCAAGTTTGGAATTTTCGTCATGAATTATCAGGGATTGATGCATAGGGATTAAAAATTATCAAAAGCAAACAAATCCATCACACAGTAAGAGACACAACAATCTCTCACACAGGTGCATGCACAGCACATGGCAACAGACTGATAAGCCAAGTTTGGAATTTTCGTCATGAATTATCAGGGATTGATGCATAGGGATTAACAATTGTCAAAAGCAAACAAATCCGTCACACAATAAGACACAAGAATCTCTCACACACGGGTGCATGCACAACACTTGGCAACAGACTGATAAGCCAAGTTTGGAATTTTCATAGTGAATTAACACAATCTTTCTCTCTCTCAACACACTTCTGATGATAGCACACCACATGCCAACAGACTGATAAACGAAGTTTAAATTTTTCCACATGAATTAACACACACGGTATCATTAATTTTCCCAAAACAAAGTAACAAACCTTAACCACCCCTCCACATAACAACTTAAAACCCACCAAAATCATCCAAAAAAAAATTAACAGCCTGATTGATTCTCTTCTCACTTTTTTGTCTTAAAACCCGCTTTCTAAATTAATTCCACACCACTCAGCAAACAATGTCTCATCCAAATTCAATTAAGTTTTGAAAATTATTTCCTAAACAAGTATTATAACAACCAAAAAAAAAAAACAGAAACAACTGCGAGATTTAAAAAGCATGAAACTTAGAACATGTTTAGATAAATTTATCCGTAAACACTTCTAAGACAACAAAATAAGAAGAAAAATAAAATAAACTTTTTCATACGCATATATACATAAACTAATTTATAGAAATTCTCTCATATTAACTTATCCAAAAACTTATTTTTAAGTAAAGTATAAACTAGTTATTATAACTTATAAAGAAACTTATTTCATTTTGCATTCCTATCCCTTTCTCCAAAAAGTACTTACCAAGAAACTTATCCGAACACACCCAATAAACTCTATTCCACAAGTACTTATGGTGGGTGTTGGTATCATTCTCCAATCAGAATTGAGATTTTATCTTATAACATTTAATAAAACTCTGTATTACCTAAAAGGCCGGAATAAAACTCCAATTGTGACTAGTAAACAACACCAAAATCCCCATTCAAGTTTTGTCCTTTAAAAAAGACAAAACTGTTCACATAAACAACACAAAGAAGTAGTACCTGGGTGGCGAGCACTTGAAGCGCGGAGCTGAAAACCCGGTGCAGAAGCTTCCACTTGACATACTCCACGTAATTCCCCGCGACCCGTCTCGGAATGAAGAAGCCCCACACGGCCCTCACCAACCTATCACCGAAGTCCACGTCAGCACCACGGCCACGGCCATGGCCACGGGCACCGTCGACGGTGACAGCCTCCTGCAGGCAGCTCCCGCTCCAGAAGAATCTAGAAACTTCGGTGGGGCCCCTCACCACCGCGAAGGGAAGGCGAATTGGCGGCGAACCTTCGGCCACGCCCCCATCGGAGGCGCAGGTTCTGAGAGAGGAAAAGACGGAGACTTTCCTCGAAAAGAGGGGTTTTTGATTAGTGGGGTGTAGAAGGTTCCATGATGGGTGGTTGGTGGTGGTTGGGTGGAGAGAGAATGGCATGAGAGTTTGGGCCAACAAGTGTAGAGCCTTCAAGGTTGGATTTCAAGACACGGATTGTGATGTGTGTATGGTTCGAAGAAGAAGTAGTGAGAGTTGGAGAAAGGTTTTGTGGATGAACAAGGTGAGGGAAGTGAAGAAATATGGCGTCCAAAGAACGACACAATTTGTGCTTCAAAGGAAATACACTTTCTTTTAAGCGGCCAAGGGTTACCTTACTAAAAATATTATATTATTTGTCTTATTTTATATTCTTCTTTTCTTCTCACGAAAATATTGTATAAATAGGAATTTTCATTAAATTAATGTTGTATATTCAATCAACTACACATCACTCTTTGAAATTGAGTTCTTTTCTAAATACATTTTCTAACAATTTCCTTTTTCTTTTTAGTGATCGAAGTTTATTGATAAAATATTTTGTATTAATTTTTATCGTTATTAAAAATAATAATTAATGTCAGTAAAAATTTCGTCGAAGTCATGAGACTGTACATCACCCTAGGATTTTTGCAAGGAATCCCTAAAATCTTGGGGTCATAAGTGCGGTATGAAGGAACATAAAGTGAGGACTCTAGGACTACTGGGTGGCAGGTTAGACTCACCAAAGGAACTCGTATAGTATTTCATTAAAACTACTCTTATGTAATTAATTAATTTATTATCGTCTAAAAATATTAATTTGTTGGGATTGTAGATACGGTTTTCAGTGCATTGTGAGCAATTCGTAGGCTCCAACATTATGAAAATTTTCTATTAGAAAACATATTATGTTAAATTCAAACTCACAACAGACTTTTCTAGTTCACGTTCTGCAGATTCTAAGTCTGCCTATTATAAGAACATATGACAGCTCAACCAACTTCATTGTATAAAGAAGCCTTAGATCTCAACAAATGCAATGCAATCAAAATGCGATTACTGGTATAAGAAAAATAACATAAGACAGTCACAACGGGTATTTCATCTATATAAGGAAACTATAGAACGAATGACCTTATCGTTAAGTGAAGAATGAAAATAACTCTTTTCCTGCATTTTGTTTAAAACTTTTAGAAAACCAACCCAAGAATAAAATATTTGAACGAGAGAATCAATTTCTTTTGAAGAAGATCACGTACTAGCTTACTATTATTTATATAACAGAATGCAAGGAAATTCAACCATTAGCATTTAGCTACAGCCGATAGGATAATCCAACAAATTAAACAGGCTAAACAACCACTTACTTTATTAAATGGTAAGGTTCTGAAATCATTGAGAAACAAACAACCAAATGTAAGATAGCAAAAGTTCAGTATGGCAAAGTCAAGCTTTGAACATAATCATGAGAGAAATGGCTATGTGAGCCGACATCGAAACCATGAGTATGATCTATTTCTATTATCTCTCAGATTATAGAAAACAAATTGTGAATCTCTTTCGGTTGCCAAAAGCAGGATATCTTCATTTTCAGACATCAACAAAGGCATGAATTTAAGTCCGATTCTAATTAGTTCGTCGTAACTAACATCAAGAATCTTAGTCCAAGAATTTTCAATTCCAAACTCCCTCATTAGCCAAACAACAAAATGGGTATCCTCATAGCAATCAAGAAAAAGACACAAACATCCTTTCAAAACCCCAAGATAAGGCTCACGAGCAAGGACTTCAACAAGACCATGAGGCATCAACAAAGATCTGTACGTATCATTCTTTAGATCATAAGAAAGTATTACTAAGTCATCAATAGTAACACCATCCCATTCATAGACATAAGGTCCATTAAAGGTGTTGCTAAGTGCTAACCAATTAAGATTGCCACTTACTAACTGTCCAACAAGTTTACCTGGCATGGGAAAAAGGGGGCAATTTAAAGTCTTCTTCCAACTAGAATCACCCAAGGTGAGAACTCTCGTCTCAGTTTTAATAGACTGAACATTCAAATGGAACATCACCACCTTATAAGTGTCACTCAAATCATCAAACCCAAATCCAAATTTCAGATAAGAACGTACATTTAGATATTCATAATCAAAAAGAACTATGTGTGGCGAATCTTCGGACATGATTCTCGTGGCGGGGTTCCAAAACCGGACCCAGTATTCGGTAAAACCATCTTTGTCAAAATAACTGCATATGCAAACTAAGCCATTGCATGTACCTATGACAATGTTATTTTTACTGAAATAGCGGACACAACTATTTATAGTGGAAGTTGGGTTCTCAAGTAAGCCATGTATAGAACAGGGAGCAGCAGCAACATTTTCATCTGTCCAATTACCCACAGCGCGGTAATGTTGGTAGAAAGATAATAGAACATGCTTGTTCTTGGAAGATCTTTAGAGGTGCAATTTAACGAATGCAGGATGAAACATAAGGGTAGTCCAGGTCTTAGAAAGGCACCTGAATCGCATGAGATCCTTCACCGGAAGCCATGACAGAATTTCCAAGATGAGTTCTTGAGGGAGTTCTTGAACACAAAAGGGCATTTTTTTCTTCATCTTTGTTCGTTGCATGAGATTGCGCTTCTCAAAGCTAGGTCAACAATAACACTGCCTTCACTCATCAAATCTCAAAGTAGTCTCTGTACGTTGTCACGTCACGACCCCTAACCAGTTTTCAAATTTTTCATATGGATTTTACTAAGTTCTATGAGGAAATAAATAGTTGTGTATCTCATCATTAAGGAATGAAAAAAAATATAAAACTAAGAATATATTGTTAACTTTCTTTAATAAATAAATCATAGGAAAATTTGTAGGAAAGTTTCCGGAAAAGAAAAATTGCAAGAAATTTTCCTGCAAATTTTTTGCAGGAAAATTTCTTGTAAATTTTTTTGCAAGAAATTCTGCAGGAATATTTTTTACGAAAAAATTTAAAAATTACTATAAATTATATATTTTAAAAATTCATAATCTTTTATTTTCATGCCTCATACATAATCTTTTAAATTTTAATATTATATATTATAATTCTAACACTCAACCATACAATTCAACTTGTAAGGTAAGTGTTGCCCCAACTTATATACTCTTTAATTGTTTTATTTTCAATCGACGTGGGACTTGAAAATTTTTTAAAATATTAAACTTATGAATTTAATTTTTTTATTTTATTTTTCCTGAGAATTAAAATTTGTAGAAAAATCTGTAGGAAAAGTTACCTACAAAATTTTTCTACCATTTAGTAAACATAATTTACGAACTTATTTTTGAAAGAAAATCTGCAAAAAAACAAAATAAAATTCTTACAATATTTTCTGCAAATTTTTACCATGGAAAATTCTTTTCCATGATTATTAAAATTGTAGCAAAATTTGTAAGAAATATCTGTAAATTATTTTTTGCAGGAAAATTGGCAAAAAATTTCTGCGAATATTTTTTTGCAGGAGAATTCGCAAAAAATTTCTGCGAATATTTTTTTGCAGGAAATTTCGCAAAAACTTTCTACGAATATTTTTTTGCAGAAAAATTTACAAAAAAAAATGACACTTTTCTAGTAGTGTTATTAATGTTATTGATTATAGATTATAAATAATAAAAATATTATTGACATATTTATTAATATGTCACGACCCCAACCAACTTTTCAATTTTCAAATAATTTTTACTACTTTCTTCAATAAATAAATAACTGTATTGATAGCTGTAAGGATTTTTTTTATCATCTCAATATATCATTAATTTATAATTTTGTTTTTTTATTACAAAAAAAATATATTTGTATTTCTATTCACTAACAGTAAAACCTAACATATCATTATTGTACATTGCTGTTCATCTTTATGAACAATTAGGATCCACTTTCCAATTCAAATTTTATATAATAAAAAATTAATAATTTGAGACATGTAATAAAATTGTAAGCTTTATCTGCATGCAAGTCTTCCAGAATATAATATATTTTTCTCAATAGTAATTAAATAACAAAATTAGTAAGTGTTCAATAATTTTACTGCAATTTATTTTAAATCATCATACTTTTTATTAACTAGAATTCTTTTAATATTCTAAAAAGCTGTTTTATTGCACTCACATAACTATCTGATTAAATTCTTCAATCCCAATTGCGAAACGAAAAATAATAAAGTGATAATAACACATGAAATTTATAAGGTCACAAAAAAGAGATGTGTGGGAGAGATCCTCAAAATCTTCTTTTATATTTTTAATGAAAAAATTTGCTTCTAAAACTACCCAAGAGTAGAACCAAGTTAGTCGGTTTATAGGATATGTAACACCCCAGTTTTTAGAAAATATTATTATTATTATTATAGAGGAAAAATATTTTATAATATATATGTATTTATATATATTATGAAAATGAATATGTTGGTGATTTATTTGAGTTTTGATGCTTGCATGTTAACCTTTTACGGGTTAGGTAGCATGTGAGTTTTATTTTTGTGTCTTTTGTGCTGAATATGTGAGTTGTTTTGGTTTAGGATTGTAGTCGGAAGCTTTGATATGAATTTGAGGTGGAAAAGAGTAAGTTTGGAAGGATTGAGGTATTTTTATGGCCTTAGATGTTGATGCGCTATTGTGTAGGGGGATGTTTGCGCTCCAGTTTTGTTGTGTCAGTACAAGTGCTATATTGACAGAATTAGATTTTTTGATCTTCATGAAAGTTATAGCCTAGGATGTTATCTTTTCAATGACACCAGAATCATGTAAAACGGAGATCTAGAACTTCTGTTATGGTTGTTTTAGTGAACAAAGGTCTAGCTGTAAGCACTAAATATATCTGCTGCGTTTTTGAAATTTTTAGCTAAGAATATGATCTTTTTAGAATCTCATGTATTCATAAGAGTTGTAACTTATTCTCTTAGGTTTCTTTTGAGATAGGTTTGAGATCATTTGTATGAGTATAACTCTCTATGTATCATTTTCTTTGACAGTTGTTGAAGGGATATGTATGGTGTAATGATATTTTTGAGTTATTAGGCAATGCAAGGATAAAAACTGATTTTGTCATGATGTTCCGAGATATTGACATGTGGATTGAGAGGTTGTTTAAGGTTGTATGATGCTATGTGGTAAAGTATGTTATATGGAGTAAATGGTGATTGATTCGTACATGCTTAGGAATGATATATATCGAATGTTTGAAGTAGGTATTCTAATATGATTTGTTATGTGTGTATGTTGATACGAGGATAGATGACCTTATGGATTAATTAGTGAATGTTTATGTGTTTAGTAAGGTTGACCTCAAGGTGGGATACCATCAGATTGGAGTTGAGAGTGAGGATTTATCCAAGACAGTTTTATGCTAAGTTATCTTAATATGATTTTTGATTGTATGAAGTGAGTTTCTAGGCCCTGTATTTTCTAGCGAGGTATAATGTAGATCTATCTAAGATAGAAGTTGTGCTTAAGTGGGAGATACCTGAGTCTATTAGTGAGGTTAGGAGTTTCTTGGGTTAGCTCATTATTATTAGAGATTTATTGAGTAAATTTCTAAGATAGCATTACTTTTGACTAGGTCGACTAGGAAGAGTGTTGTCTTTGTGTGGGATAGTAAGCGTGAGAGTAGTTTCCAAACTCTTAAGGAAAGATTGACTAGTGTTAATATTACCAGATTTTAGTAAGTCTTTTGTGGTATATTATGATGTTTCTAAGTTGGATTTGAGAGAAATTATCCTACCCATGATCTTGAGTTAGCGGTTGTGGTATTCACATTTTAATTTGGAGACACTACCTGTATGGTTCTAAGTGTTAGAAAAGAATGACTCAATCCAAGAGGGGGGTGAATTGGATTCTATGACACTTAAAAAATTTTCAGAGTTCTTGGGATCTTTATTTCAATTCAAACTTTTCTAATATGAATTCTCAAAGAAGTTCCTTGAAAGACTTGCTGATGGGAATGAGTCCTATATGCTTTCTTGATTAATCTTTGATAAAATTCAAAGTTAAGAACAATTAATATACAACACTTTGATTCAGTTTAAAGCAATGTTGTGCATACAAACATATTAATCAAGATTATTCCCTTTAACACAACCAAGATATTACTCAAAGTAAAAGATAAGGGTAAGAGAAGAATGCACAAGTCTTTTATCCTGGTTCAGCCACTCCACATGTGACCTACATCCAGTTCTCAATCATAACCTGATCAAGATTTGTTCCATTATCTCAACGAAGAAGTTTTACAAGCATACCACAAATGCATATACTCCTACATTCAAGATAACCATTTTCTTGACCCCAAGAAAACACTTCTTGTAGAAACCCACTACAAGAATTCCTTACCACTTGAGACACCTACTCAAGATTTATAATTATTCACAAAGAATTAAAGGAACGAATTCACCTAGAAGCTGAAAAAATCAGATTGTGAATTCAGAAGCAAATCTCAATCTTTCTCTTCCAAGAATGTGATGATGATGATCTTTTTCAAAGCATTTCAAAAAAATGATTTACTTCTTGGTTTCACAAAGAAAACACTCCAAGAAGGTCACAAAGACTTCACAATAACGTTTTTCTCTTTTTGATTGTTAACTCATTCTCTGTTCTGAAGTTTCAAGGTGTGAAAACTATTTATAACATTTTCAGAACCAGATAATCGATTATTTTAAAGGATAATCGATTATTTTGTTCTTCATGATTTCTGGAAATCAACCAAGAATAGAATAATCGATTATTTTGCCGGATAATCGATTATTCCAGAGAGTGCTTCCTGGGATAATCGATTATTTCACAAATAATCGATTATTACAACAAGGCATCATTTTCACCTGTTGTTGGAAAAATCGATTATATTTAATGATAATCGATTATTTTGAGTCAGTTTTCAAAAACTGTGTTTTACATCTCAAAATAACTTTTCAAGTATTTAACTCATCATCATACTCACTCTTAGTCAAATTAGATTAAGACTAACTCATGCACAAAGCACACACATGCAAAATAAGAAAAACAATACAACTTATGAGCTATCCCTATTACACATCATAATAGCCATATTTTCTTCTTGACTTTGTTTTTGACTTGTTGATGTCCTTGTTGACTTGTTGATGTCCTTGGTCAGCTTTGCTTTGATTCTTAGAATCCACACATTTTGTTATCATCAAAACTTTCATTCTCCAAGTTTGAGTTGATTCACCACTCTATGAATCTCAACACTAAGCTTGAGGTATCTAGTGATCATAAGAACCTTAAGTATCTTTGGAGCAGAAGGAGTTGAATATGAGACAAAGGAGATTGTTAAAATTTCTTAAGGACTATGATTTTGATCTTACTTGTCATTTAGGAAAAACCAATGTGTGACCGATGTTTTAAGTAGGAAATCTCCACAATTATCTTCCCTTATAAATAGAAAGATGAATCTTTTGGCTCAATTTAGGGATTTAAGTTTGACTTGTTAGATTACTCCTAGTGGTACGAGACTAGGCATGACTCGAGTAATTAATGGATTATTGAAGGAAAATTGGAGAAGCACAATTAGATTATTCATTTTGGTGGCAAAATGTGAGGCTATAGGACAAGAT